AAACAGGCTTGTCCACATACTCGTCAGCAAACATCAAGATTCAGCATTATTATTTTGGAAACACTGACGGTTCTTAATTCATTTAATAATTGGGTAAACGGTTCAACTTAGTGACACTACGGCACAAATAAATACAAGGACATCAAACAAGGAAACATTTACCATTACAAGTTGCTATGCTTGCTTGTGTTGACTGTTGACTCACATGAAAGTGAGCATCCTTACAAGCAGGAAGTGTGTATTCAGTAACCTGTGACAACAAACCAGAGTTGGGTATCCTTTAACATGATCCTGAGTCTTTGTCAGTTTTGCAGAGACGCAGACCTGAATCCTGGGCTAAACCTGGGCCAAGCAACTTTTATCACCGCAATTACATCAGCGCACAAAGGTTTTATTACTCCAGCTTCATTTAGAAATCAGCCAACTCCTAGGGCAGCAGTCATTTCCCAAAGCAGACCACCTGAATGAATGCCGTACCAAGGCCAGACACCCAGAGAGAGCTGCCTCCTTTCTAGCAGACTTAATTCGAAGCCAACTCTTGCTCTCTTGTTTTACACACACATAAATGTATGGTAATGCTAAAGTAGGCTAATAAAACATAAACTCATCAAATGGAGTACGTTGTTAATTTTACTTTTCATTTGTCAAGATTATAGGGTCTAAATGTTTTGTGTATACTTTACAAAAGAGGTAAATTAGAGTTACTGTACTCCATTACTCTGCTGCTGTTTACAGGTTCAGCACAATAGTAAGAATTTGTTTAGTAGAAATGTAAAAGGAAAAGGAAACCAAAACCTGAAGTGTTTTATTACAGCTCATAAAGACAGTCTCATGTAAGACTAAGTAGTTAGTGGGAAAAGAAACTATACATAAAAAAATGGTTTCTTTTGTTATTACTTATACACAGAGCTCTCAACAATTATTGGTAATTGGTAATAATTTTAAAAGATACTTGAAATTGGCTTTGTGATTTCATGAAGCAACTCTTTGCTGCAGATCTCCAAAAGGCATTTGTAGAGTCGATTACCTCCCTTACCATCCTCACAATGGGACGACCAGATGAACACGAGTCAATTCTTGTTTTTCAGTTCCAGATTATTACATATTATTCTGACTTTAAATACAGAAAAATTAAGCAAGCTATGCTTGCCTTGTACCCATATCTGACTTAGACGGCATGTTCATCCATCTTTCATCCATCTCATAGTTATATATTTAGGAAACAAATGTAGATCTGGAAAAATCTGGAAAACTTTGAAATTGTTTTTTTTTTTTTTTTTTTTTAACCAATTTTGTTTTTAAAAGAACACTGAGAAGAAACAGTCTACTTAATTAAAAACATCCTAGAAGCTTCATTCAATTTAAAGTAAGCAAAAAACTTAAAAAGCAGTTCATTTTATGTATATCTTATAGAAATTGAAATGGTTAGCAACACATGTTGCTCTGGTGATTCAATCTTACTGTTAATGTTCTTTTTTTTTCCGCTACAAAGCTGCAGTGAAACCAAAAAGGTTGGATTTTTCTATCTTTTTCAGTGTGAGGTTTTGCCTCCACAATAAAGGTTTTGTCTATTTTCAGACTTTTTAGGGTCTTTGTGAGGAGAGTCATCACTGAGTCTGATCCTGTGTATCTGATCCTACAGCTCTGAGCTTAGTTCTTGTTTCCTCTCTCATTGTCCTGCAGGAACCACTCTCTGAACCGCGTGTGATTTTAGATTTTTTGCATATCACATCCCAAACAAATCCTGTGGTGACCTGAGTAATGTGGCTTGAGCAATTGTGGTTTCAGTGTTTTGCATGTGCGACCTGCACCGTACAATTACGTCCAACAGTTTTGGCTGTGAGTGCACCGGGGTCAAATTGAGCAATCTTTACAACAATAAAAAAAAAAAAAAAAGACGAACATAAAAACAATCACTTGTGTGATCATGCAGACCTACCTAAGAGCAGCAGCTTCAGCTCCCTTCGTGCGTCTCTCTTATCTCGCCGGAGTTGCTTCTCGATCTCAGCGTTGATTCGCTTGGACTCCTTCGCCTCCTCGCTCAGGCAACAAGCCATCATGGGCTCCAAAGTCATCACCGCATGAGCTGGGGGGGAAAAGTCCGTCTGACAAGGAGCGCCGGGCTACACCACTGCCGAGAGTATCAGAGTGCAGGAGTCCACTTTAAAGTTGGTGACAGTCTTGCTGCTTTGTGCTGAATCTGGCCTCCTTTGCTGATGTAAAAAAAATAAATAAATAAATTGCCGTCAAAGGTTCAATATTTGACAGCTTGGGCTCGGTAAAAAAAAAAAAAAAAAAAAAAACAAAAAAAAAAAACAACAAAAACAAAGAGGGGTTTACAGAAAATCTGCAGTGCAACATGTCCATATTAGGTGGCTCCAGACGTGCAATCAACACATTTTAATTTGATGCACTCCTCAAATTGAGCTGGTTTTAGTTTGGATGCGTTAACTTAGAAGCTAGGCTGGAAAACTAGCTAGATGCTGGCGTGCTAAACGACTAAATAAATTCGCAAATGTTAATTATTTTATAGACACTTTTAGCAGTTTTCCTTGATGACAAACATGTATATATGAAAAAAAAAAAAAAAAAAAACTACCAACTTCAGGCCCAGAGACGGTGGGACACAACAGGCTGCCACGGCCACATCTGTACAATCCCTTCTCCTGGTCGCCTGGCCGAGTGCGAGCCTAGCCGCCCAGAAAAACCTACCCTGGAAGAAACGCCCAAGCTGTGACAATTAATCGCCGTCAAACTGTCCATCCAGACAGCTTGGTTCACTGACTCATGGTCCTCGGAGAACAACAAGCCCGGGAATAATCAAAATGAGAGTATGAGCGCAGAGCTGTTGCTGCTATCTCTTCCACACTGGGACCCAGTGAGGCTAACTGTTAGCTGGGTAGGCTAGCCAAGGAAGCCATCCCTAAAAACCACACAGCCTGGAATGGCAGACAGCCGTCATGGCCTTAACCTTAAGCTCTCTTCGGGGATCTCGGTGACGGAATAGCCTCAAGATGTGAAAATAGATTACTGACAATTATTGTCCGTGCATTTTGTCGATCCTTTTAATTTTTCCTGGTGATTCTGGTCGCTCCTCGTCACCCACTCCACAGCCCCGGTGTGGCGCTACTGCTGCTGCTGACGTCACTTGGGATGTAGCTGGCTGACAAACGATTCAACCAATAAAAACAGAGGATGTGAGAGCCCACGGTTGGAACCCTCCCTAATGGAGAATTTCCCAAGTTTGCTTGAGAGGAAGTAGTGTTTTTATTCTGGAGGCGTGACAGGGAAAGAGATCGGTGTTTGATTTGACAGGCAACGCCCATCTTCTGCCAAACAGCAGCAGGTCGATCCACAGGGATGTTTGCTTCTCACACGTTTCCTTCAGTGGAGTAAGACAAGAGGTCAACAATATGAACAGCAGTTGTTATTTAACCACATGACCACTTAGGGTGACTTTACTCAGCACTTTAATTATTAAAAACACCGGTGATCAGAGTAAACCAGTCACATGTGGCGTACCCCAAGGTTCAATCCCAGGGCCTCTCTTATTTAATATATGTGTGCTCCCATTTGCTCAGGTGATTACAGGAAATTATATTAGCCAACATAACTACGCAGATGATACGCAGCTCTACATTGCAATGTCACCAGGTGACTCCAAACCCAAAGCACTGAACAGATGCTAAGAACAGATACATTTGTGGATGTGCCATAACTTTCTCCAGCTGAACAAAAACAACTGAAGTTATTATCTTTGGACTTAAGCGTTCTAGCACACAGCTTTGGTTATTACGGCTAGAAACTAGAGATCAGGCTTGAAATCTGGGTTTAGTAATGGACTCTGACATGAACCGTCAGAGCCACATAAAGATGGTTACAAAGTCAGCCTTCTATCACCTGAAGAACATTAACAGGATTAAAAAACTAATGTCCCAGCAAGACCTAGAGAAACTCAGCCACTTGTTTATCTTTATCTTTACAGTTATCTTTATCTTGTACATCTTTATCTGCAGCTGTCAATCAGACTGCAGATGATCCAGAATGCTGCTACCTGTGTTCTGACTAAAATCAGGAAGATAGAGTACATCACCCCAGTTCTAAAGTCCTTTCACTCTCTCTCTCTCTCTCTCTCTCTCCCAGTAGATCAGAGAATATATTTTTGAAATACTGTTGTTGGTTTATAAATCACTGAACGCAAAAAAAAAAAAAAAAAAAAAAAAAATCTTCCAGCTGCTCAGCATAACCAAATGAATACAAAGTTTTGAATAATTATCCATCTCATTCCTGGCAGTCTCGGTGTAGAATCAGTTGTGTTTTCTGCATGGAGTCTCCAGAGGGCGTTGTTAAGCCACTGAACTGAACACAGCTGGTCACATTTTAAAAGCTGTTATCAGAAAATGTGACCAAAATAGAAGATGAAGTATTTGTTCTTGACAGTTTACTTACCACTGACTTAAGAAGTGGGTGTAAATGCAGAATGTTGCATATTCAAATCACTGTTTTCGAAAAAAGAAATCTGGGTCGCATGTTTAAACTGGCTATCATTTGGCTTGTCAGTATTTGGATTCATCTTGTGATGTTCTAGGTCAATAATTTTTTTTATACTCCCAAATTTCCCAAATTACTGCCTGAACATTTAGCTATCAAAATATGCAACCATTTTTATTTCACTCCCTCTGAAGTCACAGAATCTGACATTCAAAGAATCTGGTGTAGCAGTACAAGTACAAGTTGCAGTAAAGCGGTGTCATTTGGTAACTCATTTAAACCCTACATTTTCATTTCACGGTCTCTAAGCCAACTACTTTGTGTTGGCTTAGCATGGATACTTTTAAGGAAAACACTAAAGTTAGCACTTTTGTAACAACATGTAAAAACCTTAAAGAAAGACTTTAGCAAGGCACTGTAAAGCCAATAATCCAACAGGATCACTAAAAACTTTCAGTTGTGGATATTACAAGAAATTTAACAAAGAAAATATCAAATACTCAATTTCTTCATCGTGACTGTTCATCCCTCAGATTTCTTGCTTCATTTCAGCCTCTAATCTGCAAGATTAAACTAATCATATATTGCAGTATCCCTACTAGAGTTTCGAATGGTAAAACAAATCGGAACCACAGAAGGCTGTGGTCTTTATCCCTGCATTTATTACAGTCTGGTATGTGTTTGACGTAGGAATGAACAAGTTTAATTTAACTGCTCACAATGTACTGCAATCTTGAAGGTGACATTTATTATGGTGCTACTGGCAATGCTTTTTCTCCACTTTTTGAAAAGGTCTGTGTTATCTTTGATACACACATAGTGTAATTTGATATACGTCTGGCAGCAAAACCTGAAAAACAAAAAAAAGTGAACATAGCACTGATTAAAATGCAGCTAAAAACATTTGTTTAATTCGTGTAGTTCCAATTTTATTTGATTTGTCATATAATTATTTATTAACCACCTTTTTCATTTAATTATCTGAGCTACTGTTGACCCTTCATACAGCTGAGATTAAAAACAGAATATGAGCAAAGCTTTTCTTCTTCAGTCCAAAAGCTAAAATGCTGCAGAGCAAAGCGACATCGTGTGGACATTCGATGTAACCACGTTTTAAGAGCATCTGGTGCACTTGGTCTGTTTCACATTTTCTTGTTACTTTGTTTTACAAAAAACTTTTGTTTTTTGTAAAAAAAAAAAAAAAAAAAAAAAAAAAAAGAATTTTTTTAAAAATGCAAAAAAAAAAAAGTAAATTTTTTGGTTTTTAGATTTTTTATTAAAAAAAA